AAACTGGGGCACATGTGTTTCATACTCAAAACATTTATCCTTTAGTCCAGGCTGACCTACTGTGCAATTCCACGGCCTCAGGATTTTAATTCAAATATCCACTATCACTGTTTTTCTTTTTGCATCTCGCCCATGAGCAGACAACCTAAGGACATTTTCACAGAGGGAATACTACAATAAAGATGCTATGTAAATGGAAATTGTAGTTTTGCTGAATAGACACGCCCTGAGGTCAGCAGTTGGAGCAATGGGATTTGTTTGACTGTTAATTTTCTTTTGGCACTTTTCTTTCTGAGGTTACTTTGATTAGTTCTAAAGGATGGCTCTGTGTGTATGAGTGCGATGGACTCAGACTTTCCATTGTAAATTAGATAGATAGGCAAATGGGAAAAGACAGACAGGTAAACGAACAGACAGGTGGATAAAAGGAGAGGTTAGTATGAAAATTAACAGGCGAGAGTTGGCACAGATCAAAATAAACAAAGAGCATATCGAATGACTGGATTGTTTAGCCAGAAAAGTTCAGCTCACTGGGACATTCAGCCTTACATCTACTTCCTCTACCCAAAGTGTATTTCCTATAACTATAATTCATCACCATACCAAAGTCAGATACATACGATTATTTCAATTATACAGTCAGTTAAATTGATTTTTATTGCATTTATAAAAGAGCAAAGGGCTGAGGGGACGAGGAGCTCACAAAATGCTCCCTAGCAAGCTCCTTCTCACAGTTACAGCAAACTACGGTAAGCTACTGAAATGCAATTTTCAAACATTCCCCACCCCGCAACATCATTTTCCTTTCTTGTTCAGATTTCTTGATTGCTCAGACTGTCGAAGCTGGTGACCTCCAGGATGACTTCAGGAGAGTGTGAGCAGCCAACCTAGACCTGGTCACCACATTTCGCTCTGAGAGGGTTCTCTGTTTTCTCACCAGGTTTCTCTTACCCCTGGAGGCTGAGTGGTAGACAGCTATGTTTTCACTTTGCTCAGTCTAAATGATTTATCAAGCCAAAAGAACCTTCCACTCTGCACAGACAGCAGCCTGGATCGAGGGATGAGTTGGGAACCTGATCTTCTCAGCCTGGCTGAGTTCCCTGGCACACAAGCCAATCGATGCTCTCTGAAGCTCAGCTGCTGGTGTCAAGTTTCCAGTTACAGAAACTAGGACAGGGACCTTATGAAATCCATCCTCAAGCCTTGGCACCGGGCCTAAGGCCAAGAACTTAACACTACAATCTAACCATAACATTGGATCAAGCTCTTTGTGAATCACTGCCTTCCCTGACAGTTAAACACCTTTCTTCTGCCCATCTGCCTTCTTTCTTCCAAGGCGACAGTAAGCAACATTTTCTTTGACACAAAGGGCTGAATCTTGTCCCGAACTCTGGAAAACACAGCCTGCGTGATTTCACAAATGGCACCTCTGAATCATATGTATTCTGGCTTGGGTTTTCAGTGCAGTTTGTGAGATGCTCTGGAATGCGTGTGGAGTCAGGGTGTGTAGGTGGGCCATTTTGAAGGCCCATTTTGGTGCTTCACGTGTATCCCCGCTCTCAGCAGAATTGGAAAAAACTCCAAGTCTCACACCCAATCCAACAAATCCTAATGCCAGCCCATGCCCCGTCTATGTCCAGGTACTCCCTATGCTTCCTCAGATCACCCAAGCCATCTCTATGCCCCCCTTATATATCCTGTATAGTCAATCACCCAGTGTACACAATTTACAGTCCTCAGATTCCATGCCATATTAATGGAAAATATTTTAAGCTAATTTTATGAGTAGAATGCCTGTCTATCAGTGTAAAGAAGCAGGTGGTTAGATTTCTTTTCATGCTAACAAAACAGCTTGTAACATTTTTCACTGCCTTATGGTGTTTCTCCTTTAGAAGAGTACAGTAACACGTGGACAAAAACAGAAGGCTGGACAATGTAAGTCGCGACTTTCCAAGCCCTTTTCTTTATCAGATCCTTCAATAGTCTTGCCCCAACTTTATTTGAACCATTTTTCTAGCTGGGTGTCCTGACCACTCCTCAATCCACACCATTAGTGGTTAATCTTCCATTACCAACAACGCCCAAGACCCCATGAAAATATTTGCTGGGCCTTTTTCCACTTCTTCAAATGTTCAAGAAGCCTCTTTACAAACCATACACTGGGGTCATGTATGCATTCCTACACAATGTGTGCTTCCCACACAACCTTTCAAAGCTGTTTCTTGATACAAAACTCACTGCCCTCATCTCCTCTCAGTGACTCTTCACAAAAACCTTAGAGATGTTGATGATCAGCTGTGTAAGCTATTGTGTTATTGTGTCAAACTCTGCAAGCAAACTTCACTGACGCAAATCGATAATGAAAACATTCTCAGCAAAAATCTCTCCAAAACATGTACACCTTCAAAATCAAGGGTTTAATCAGAATTTAAAGTGAACTTATAACATTATCTTCCAGCGAGAAATAGATTAACAAAAATTGTCATAAACTGCTTTGAAAAGAGAGAGGGAGAGTGGGCTCAAACAGCAACATGGGCAGGGAAGCAGCATTCAGAGCACAATGGCTCCTGTAGTGATACCATGACTTTGTATTTGATTTAAAACATGACTGTAAGGAATTGAAATAACAGAAAACATTGAGCCCATCAACTGCATTCCTTCTACAAATCAGTCCATTAATCTCCAGAAAATGGTTTCTGTTTCCTCCACTTCATTTCATCTCGAAACATAAGTGAAGTAAAACTCCACGTTACTGACTTGACCTCAGATTCTCGACATTATCCTAATAATTCAGGGAGCACCGTGTTCCATATTTTATCATCTCTTGTTTCTGCTTTCTCCCATTCAGATATTCATCCAACCCATTATGAAAATCTGTTTATGTATGTAGCATCAACTACTTAACAAATAGTGTGGCCTTTCAGCAGACTGTTTAATTAACAGGATTGCAAGATCTTGTCTGCTGGTCTATAGCCACCTGATGTCATGCAACTGAGGAACAGCCAAGGTATTATTCAATTGGTTCACTTGGTGTTGCAGTTGCAGAGTATTTTTTTTACATACAGTCTCTCCCTTGTGATTATACGTCTCCTGTGCCAACATTTCCTGTTTCTGATTTCCTTCTCCAGAGGAGATGGTGGGAAATGATGAGTGTCACCAAATAGCTGACTATCTGCTTCATCCAACTCTCCATTTTTGGGGTAAGGAGATTTACACAGCCCCCTCTCCCAGCTCCTGCCCCTTAACCCCACCCCGGCAAAGGGTTCGAAATCAGCTCTGCAGGCTGAATCTTTGCCGTTTTAGGCTTAAATATCACAGAAGTAACTTCTCTCTTGCTGGGTTTGAAACTCCAATTTGGTTCAGAATGGAAGGCAGGAAAGTCATTGCATTTTCACAGGACTTTCTTCATTATTAAGCCGAGCCAGTGGCAGAGGTTAAAGATCAGTGACAGCTAATGGTGACAATTCCGAGGTAATACTTCACTCGCACTATTGAAATAAGGTCACATCCTCTTTGAACAGTGTGTCTGGATGCAACTCAAAGGTCATGTGACAGAAATATACTTGCAAAAGGGTTCAGTGCCCCCTGAGCAAAGAAGGGACTGGGCTGGGCTGGGAGAAAGTAAGGGGTGAGTGAGTAAAATGAACCCACGTTCCTGCTGTTGGGTCATTATAGTCCACTCTATGAAAATTGAGGATAAATGGCCATTGGATCCCTGACTGATTCCAGTTAATCTCAACTTGAAAATGAAATAGGAGGAGATTTAGAGAAGAAAATTAGCAATGCAATGCATTTTCAGCATGGGTTCCCGAGCCATTATGTATTTGATGTGCTTGCCTTTATTGGTCAATACAGTATAGGTGTTGGGAGGCCATGTTGCGGCCGTACAGGACATTGGTTAGGCCACTTTTGGAATCCTGTGAGGTGAATGGATAAGGTGAACAGCCAAGGTCTTTTTTCCAGGATAGATGAATCCAAAACTAGAGGGCATAGGTTTAAGGTAAGAGGGAAAAGATTTAAAGGGGACCTAAGGGGCAACTTTTTCATGCAGAGGGTGGTGCATGTAGGAAATAAACTGGCAGTTTAAAAGGCATCTGGATGGGTAAATGAATAGGAGGGGTTTAGAGGGATATGGGCCAAATGCTGGCAAATGGGACTAGATTAAGTTAGGATATCTGGTCGGCACAGACAAGTTGGACCAAATGGTCTGTTTTTTCCATGCTGTACATCTCTGTGACTCTATAATTAGAAGGAGTGGACTCCCTGGCCCTTGAAAAAATTATCCCATTAGGACAACTGGGCCTATCTTCACTGGATTTTTGAAGAATGAGAGGGACGTTCATTGAAATGTATAAAGCTCTAACAGGACTGGATAGACTCATCATAGGAATGTTGTTTCCCCTCAATGGGAAATCCAAAACAAGGGATCATAGTTTCAGGGATTGCAACAGGCCATTTCAGAGAAATCTCTTCACCCACACCATGATAGAATTCTCTGTCACAGAAGGCTGTGGAGACCAATTCACTGAATATGTTTTTGAAAGAAGCAGATAGATTTCTAGAGGCCAAAGGTGTCAAGGACTACTGGGAGACAGCAGGAATATAGTGTTGTGATGGAGGATCATGTTGAAGGACAGAGCAGAATTGATGAGCCTAGTGTCCTACATATGTCTGTATTTTCTGTTTCTATGTTGCTGAGATAAAGATTATATAGGTTTTCTGACAGACTCAAGAACCAGCCTGACTCATAGATGCCCATGCACCCAAATTCAAAATGCTAGTCTTCTAAATTGACCTAAGGAAACTAATTATCAATTAGTGTTTTTCCTCAGAAGATATATTTAGCATCACCAGCTGCTTCAAACCAAATGCAAGAAGAACATTGCTTTGTCAACAAATATTTGTTGAAAGTGCTCAGAATTATTGTTCCTTTCGCTAAGTAACAACTGGCTGCTATGGCTACAAATAGTGGTACAAAGAGCTATTGGGCCTGTACTCACGTGTTATGGAGCACACACCAACCACAGTGAGGATCTCCAGAACCTAAACATTCGCTGCACGTCTGGTACTGTCCACATGCCTCCACGGGAACTCTGGTCAGCTGCAAGTACAGAGAGAAAGGACACAATTAGCCCAGTGTTGGCGGGTCGTTAGGCTCTTGTAGATTGAGAAATTAGAAGCTAAATGTCCATTGTACAGAATGTCAAATTGCATTGTGATGTTAACTGTTGCTTGTAATACACAAATAGTGATGTGTAACCACTGACATATGATTTGTGATATAATACTTGGTTATTGATTATAGCATATGATTTGTGGTGCTCAATTTATGGCATATAGTTTGCAATAATATAATTGCATAACAAGGCCATAGGCCAAGTGCTAGAAAATAGAATTAGAATAGGTAGTTGATTTTGACTGGTATGGATGCGATGGGCCAAACAGCCATTCTCAGTGCTGACTGTATGGCTGTAACACATAATATATGGTTTGAGAGATGTTGGATAAACAACACTTAACATAGCAAAACTGAAAATGATGGAAATTCATAGATAAGAAAGGACAGATTAATGCTTTGGGTATAACACTTCTTTAGAACCACTGTGTGATTCAGTGAAAGATCTCTACCACAAACATGAATCTCTTTATTCACTTTTAAAATGTTGTATTATTCCAATTTTTCCAGCATGGGCAATATGTTGTCCTTCTCATCAACTGCTCCCCTCCCCTGAGGCATAGTGATCCTCCGGTTTAACCACTAGCTGTAACGACAGAGCAGTCCCATGGTCTGGTAGGATAATGGCGACTTTATGTTGTTATTCCAAATGTACTGTGGTCTCCTAATCACTAATCTCCATCTCTCACTAGGTTTTATAATGCCTGCAATCTATATTTGTAAATTTCATAGCCTTTACATGATGGGTTTTTTTCTCATGAATGAGCTTAGAGGTGAACAAAGCACCTTTTCACTTTGTCATCCAGTGTTGAGCACTTCGTCATGTCAAATGCAGCTTGGTTCAGATACTGATAAGTTTCTTCTACATCTTGTCTCAGTAGGGTGCCTACATTTGAAACTCAATGAGCATTTTTTGCACATTCCCTCATTGGCACTTCCTTGAGAAATTGGGTCATTTTAAGCCAAAATAGAGACAGCACTTTTATTTGGAGTGGAACCAGAAGCATGTGTCAGACTGTTCAGTCTCACTTCACATTCACTGTTTACAGCTACCATATACAAATGTTCCATTCCCTATCTGTTCTGTTCAAAATACAGTTCACTTTGTCAGCACCATATTGCAAATCTTGCATCACATTTGCCGCAACTGTCTAATTATAATATTACATATTTGATTAACGTGAAAAAGACACCATTTGTCAAAACTGTTCATCTTGCACTAATCAGGACAATTTGCAAGAATACCACTGTAGAGAGAAAATAACATTTATACAGTACAAGAGAAAAGTGCTGACTGGTTGGCAAACAGTGTCTGATTGGCACAGAATGCACCAGTTAATGATGATTTACAGTTAATTGCCAAGCCGTGTTTACATTTTGAACCGGGCTAGTCAAGTCTGTTTGGTCAAGGCATTGTCTTGAAAAATGAAGCAGCAAATGGCTGTTACCTATTTTGTTGAGTCAAAGCAGGAGCAGCTTGTGTACGTGTTCTGTCTGCAAAGAACAGAGCCCTGTGTACAAATATATGTAGGTTCAAGTACATGCAAGTGCACCACACTGTGAACTACGATTGACGATCTTAAGTTCATTGTCGGCTCTTCATCAGAGTCATCTAGACTCAAAATGTTAACTTGCTGTCTCTCCTTGGATGCTGCCTGACCCGCTGTGATTTCCAGCATTTTTTCTTTTCAGTACAGATTCCAGCATCTGCAGCAACTTGCTCCTACTAGGATTGATTAAAACCCAGCTCCTTGACCAAGGTTTTGGTCATCTGACCCAGCATTTCCTGATTAGGTGAATTATCAAATAATGCTTGGTAGTTAAGCTCTTGTGAAGTAGTCTGAGACATTTTACTACATCAAAACCACTATATTAATAAAAATTGTTTTGGAAGTGCCATCTTGTCCATTTGCTTTTGACATGCAACTTTTGAGGTTTCAGATGCACACATTGCAAATCTGCCTACTCTCAGGCCACTCATGGGCTGTGCATATCCTTATTATTCTTCTGGGAGGTTCCTAAAGTTTATTCTTAGCTTCTTTAGATTCATTATTGGAAACAAGTTCTTGAAGACTCAGCATGTAGGCAGCTGAATATGATTCCAGCCCCACTCCAGGACATGGAACACGTAATCCAGACTGACCTCATGTGCTACTGAAGATGTGATGGGTGCCATTATCCATTTGAGCCACTAAACCTTCTTCAGGTGACCGTAGAAGATGCCATGGCACTAGTCACAGATGAGGAAGGGAATTTACCTGGTATTCTGGTCAATATTCCATACTTACCCAACATCACCATAAGAAAATACATTTACCAAATATCAACCCAATTTATGTTTATGGGATCCTGCATTGTGGAACATTATTGCTGTCTTTACCGAGCTAATAACAGTGAATGCACATGCTCCATACTGCATTGTGTGTGAAATGTTCTGGGAAGTTCAGAGGATATGGGAGCAGGGGTGTTGGGGGAAAAGTAAAGTGGAAAATTTGCAAACTGAATTTAACCTGAAATAATTTTTATATGCAGTGTGCACACACGAGGGGGGTGGGGGGGAGGGAGGAGAGGTACAAATATACATCAGCAGAAAAAAAAACCTTGAAAATAAAAATGAAGATCAATACTCAATGTTGTGCAAGCTGATTATTTTATTTATCCTCTCTGTTTTAGTCGCAACCAACGTCTGTTATTGAAGACGTCAGCAAAACTATGGCACCGTTAGCACTAGATGTATGGAAACGATTGCTTAGAATGTTCTGGAAAGGCTGGAGAGAAGTACTCTTCTCCCTTTTCATTTACAGTGAACAGCAGCTTTTTATTTTAGAAAAGTGCAAAAACAGAGAGGGAAAAAAAATCAAAAATCAATTCTGGGAACAAATGCATGAAAAGTCTTAGTCGCCGAATTTCCCACAGGGGAACTCGCTCCACAGTAAACACTGAGGTTCATTACTTTACTGTAATGATTACCACAGATAAAACCAGCGAGTGAGCAATATCTTCAACTGAATACAGCCATTCATCTTACAGGAATATTGTCCCAATAATGTTTAGGACTGAGTGTGCCTTCCTGACCAAACAAGAACAAGTGTTTGTTAACTCTGTTTGGGCATGTTCCCCTGGCTGGTTATCTCCAAAAACGCCACTCCTCCCAACTCTCTTCCACCATTTGTACATCCTCATGTCCCTCTGCCCTCCTGTGCCAAATTAGTAAGCAAACAGGTTCCTTGCTGCCTAATTGGACGATCCCCTTCATTTTTGGTCAAGCAAGCCAGTGTGCAATATAATTGGAGCAAATAAATTAAAGGCATGTGAAGAAAATGAGAACATGATTTTTCTCCCAAGTTGCTTATGGCACTATTGAGAAGATCAATTTAATTCCTGGACAGTCTTGGAGGCTTGATAACACTAATTAAGCAAGAAGCCACTCACAAAATATGTGAAGCACATTTCTAGAGACGGTTAGAATAATTGCTTGGTTAAAAAAAAATGGGTAGCAATTACTGAGGCTGCTTTAATGTGTGTCAAACTGAGTCACACCAACGAGGAAAACATCACTCTCCCTCAGCCTGGTCTCAGCTGAGTTGCCAGGAGTGACCACAGCACCTTGTGCATAGGAAAGAGAAAGGGCAGCTATCAACCAGGATTCTAGTCCCTGAATGCTGTTCCTCTAATGAAGAGGAAATGCGTGGATGTTATGCAGGAATAGGATTAAATTTCACAACAATGATCTGTCACAACTCAGTTGTACAGCCTGCTGATTCTAACATAGCAATATTATTGTGTAAGGTAGTGGTGAGCACTTTGTAGCTGTGGAGCTGGATCCTATCAGAGCACACGGTATGTCATATTTCCTATGTTAGGACAGTGACTAGACTTCAAAACCACTTCATTGGCTGTGAAGTGCTTTAAGACAGAATAAGTCACTCAGGAACAGAAGATGGTGGCTCAGTGGTTACCACTGCTGCCTCACAGCGCCAGGAACATTGGTTTGATTCCACCCTCGGGCAACTGCCTGTGTGGAGTTTGCACATTCTCCCTGTGTCTGCGTGAGTTTCCTCTGGGTGCTCTGGTTTCCTCCCACAGTCCAAAGATGTGCAGGGTAGGTGGATTGGCCATGGGAAATTGCCCGTAGTGTTCAGGGATGTGTAGATGAGTTGGGTTATAGGGGAATGAGTCTGGGTGAGATGCTCTGAGGGTCAGTGTGGACTTGTTGGGCCGAAGGGCCTGTTCCCACACTGTAGGGATTCTATGAACTGGGAGCAGTAATCAGCCTCGCAAGCCTGCTCTGCCATTTAATGCAATCATGGCTGATCTCACCTTTGCCTCAACTCCACTTTCCTGCCCGCTCCCCATAACCCTTTAACTCATTGCGAATTAATAATCTGATCATCTCCTTCTTAAACTTATCCACAGTCCGGGTATCCATCACAATGTGAGGTCGTGAACGCTACAGATTCACAACCCTTGAGAGAATTAATTCCTCCTCATCATCAGTTTTAAATCTGTCACCCTTTAGTCTAAACTATGCCCTCTCAATCTAGATTGCCCCACAAGGGGAAATGTCCATTCTATGTCTACTTTGTCAATCCCCTTTAGCATCTTATATACCTCCATTAGATCTCCTCTCATCCTTCTAAACTCAAGTGAATATAGGCCTAAACTGCTCAATCTCTGCACATGAGACAAAATTTTCATCTCTAGAAATAGTCTCATGAACCTTCTCTGAACTGCCTCCAACATAATTACATCCTTCATCAAGTAAGGCAAAGAAACCTGTGCACTGTACTCCAGCTACAGTCTCAGCAACGCACTGTTGTACAGTTGCTGCAACACATCCCTACTTTTAAACTCTATTCCTTTAGCAATAAATGGCAAAATTCCATTTGCAAAATGCTATATAAATTTCTCAGCAAGAGCACATT